ATATATATATATATATATGAATGTCTGCATCAACAAGACTTTTTGCCATGAAAAGTTACTAAATACGTAGATCCTGTATAAAGCTTTTCCATGCATCAGACGTAAAAAATGCTTTCTCAAGATTATCTTTTATAAAAAAAAAAGATATTCTATAGAACTTCGGCTTCAAATTTGTCAAAAGAACCTTGAAATTTTAGTGAAAACCTTAATGAGTTATCGAATGATTAAATAATATTTAGAAAGATTAATTCGCCTTGAGTAGAGGAGAGACGGTCATCTTATATTATTATTTAAACTTTATATGTATATTATATATTTAGTTGGAGAATAAATTGGTAAACCGAGAATAGAGGTAAATTTCATTGGCTATGAAATAAAATAAAATAAAATTAAATAAAAACCATTGGCGTTTTGACTTTATTAACTCCTTGTTGACCCCAATGATTGCGTATTAACAACACGATCTGGTTTTCTTGAAATAAAGCGGGGATGCATTGATTTTCATGGAAAATGTGCACCGAAATTCGAAAGAATTACTACTTTACGCCCATTTTATTTGAATGTGTGTACAATCTGTACTATATTAAAATTAATGGACTCACCGTACCCCCAATGTCGATTAAAAAGGCAATTATTATGAGAAGTTATATATATAAAAAAAAAATCACCGAAATCTACCTCAATCTATCGTTCCTCAATGATAACTGAACAAGTTCAAAGAATTTTCAAATCAGTATATTTTATCAATTTCAGTTTTTTTTTTCGATAATTGAGTTTATTGAATACAAAAAATTTAAGTTTAATTAGTTAAAGCAGATGAAAATTTTAAAATTTAAATATATAAAAACCCATTTCTTTTTTGTATACTCTCAATTTGAGTTGTTATTTTTCTTTTATCATAATTAATAATATTCTCTACAAAATTGTATCTGTAATGGCACACATTAATCATAATGTTGTAGTTACATATTTTCCTTACTTCACAAAGTCGACATACATGCCATTCGATCTCAGAAAATTTCCAAAGAATTGATAACTAATTCTACAGATTACGACAGATTTTTATATAAATTATTTCGCTCTTACATATCATTATGCATCAAGTCATTCATAATGAAAATCATTCTAACGATAGCATTTTAAATTTTATCGAGATAAATTGTTGCGAAAAAGTTCAATAACATAAATATTCCTTGAGCTTGAAGCCAGCTTTTCCATATGATAAAAATCGTATACGAAAATTGCTCAAAAAAGGAGTTAAATAAATAAAAACTTGATTCATGGATAAATACGTCGATTTTGTAAACATGTTTAATAAAATACACGTTTCAACTTCAGCGTCAAAAGGCCCGGCAATTACCTTCTCTTCTCCGCCCGTTACGGTGTGACACACCAAACCCTATTTATTTATTTATTTATTTTCTTTATCTTGATTTGTTAAAATAATTTTATTGAATAGAAAATTGTATTTTCTGTTTCTGTTTTTTTTTTTAAATATTTTTTTTTATTACTATTTCTTGTTTGAATCTATATAAACCAGTTACGACCATTCACCAGCTCCCCTGCTTTTCCCCCCTCTGGTGAGCTGCAGAATTTGATCTCCGATTTATGAGTTTTGTGATCTGGGTTTGATTATTTTCGCACGATTTCATAGTTTTCGAGTGAATTCCGATCTGGGTTTTCGATTTTTCCCGTGAATCGATACAATGGAGAACGATTTGTTTATGAACACCGGACTCCCTCCGCCGCCGCCGCCGCTGCAAGAGCTGGCGGTGCTTCCGTCGTCTTCACCGGCGATGATGAACTGGCATTTGATTTCTTCTTCGACGAAGACCGGACCTCCGGAGCCGAATCTCGGTCGGAATCCGACACAGGATTGCTTCTTCTGGGAAAAGTCAACGGAACGTAGCATCTTTGACTCTGCTCTGAGCTCACTTGTCTCCTCTCCGACGGCGTCGAACTCGAATCTCTCCGGCGGAGACAGCTTCATCATCAGAGAGCTTATCGGGAAGCTCGGGAACATCGACAACAGCTCCGGTGAGATCTACGGGAATCCGGCGGACAGTGGGTTGTGTTACGGCACTCCGATGAGATCTCCGCCGCCGAAAAAGCTGAGTTCTCTGATGATGGCGGTTAAATCCACGACTTTGGCGGAATTCTCTGGCGACCCTGGATTCGCGGAGAGGGCGGCGAGGTTCTCATGCTTCGGAAGCCGGAGTTTCAACGGCCGAGCCACTACGCCGTTTGCCGTTGACAACGGCGCCGCCGGAGGCAGTAACACCATCGTCGCCCCGACGGTGGGGGCCAATGTGAAACTGCCACGTGTATCGAGCAGCCCCGCCCTCAAGGCCCTCAGTTCTCAGATTTGCAAGAATACTCCTGGTAGTGAAGATCAATGTCCAAAAGTCTCCGGCGAATTTTCCCGGAAAAGAAAATCCGTCCCGAAAGGGAAACCCATGGAAAATACAGCTTCCCCGTCTCCCAGCTCCTTAAAGGTACAAAAACTTTCCCAGAAAATTTCCGGAATTTTCTCACTGAGGAGAAAGTACCCAACTTCCGCATTTTCAAAAACAGAAAAAATACTAGTTTTTTCTCGATTATTCCAAGAACTACCATTTCCCTGGGAATTCAGCTTTCTTGCATTAAAGCAAAAAAAACAAAGTGTTCATCTTCTTCATTTTTTTGTTTGGAGTTGTCGCAGGAGGGTGAAGGGTACGAGGATCCGGATCCAAAGAGAAGCAAGAAATCAGAAGAAAAAGGGAGGAAAGAAGAGAAAGAAGAGGGAGAATTAGGAAAAGGGAGCAAGAAGACGAACAGTACGAAACCACCAGAAGCTCCTCCCAAAGATTACATCCATGTCCGAGCTCGCCGAGGCCAAGCCACCGACAGTCACAGCCTCGCCGAACGAGTAATCTCCCTTTTCATCTTCTTATTTTTTTTCTTTCAAAACCCTAATCTACACTCCATTCGCATTTCGGATACGAGGAAACGACATTAGTTTTACTGAAACAAGTTCGTACTCCTGTACTTGAGTTTAACTGGTGAGTTACAGAAACCCAGTCTGACTAAATTTTCTGAAAAAAATAAAGATCCGTTATGATGGCGCTCAGCATCAACATATAATTCAGTGTTAGTTTCAATATTTGATAGCATTTAAATTCGTGTCACGTTTGAAAAATGCAACATTCAAGACCCTATTTTCGATAGAAAAATTTCCAATCGGGTGATTTTAGGTTTTCCCAGATGTGACATGTCATGAATAATCAAAACATTAATAATGTTATAAAATATGGTTAGAATTTGAATTTTTGTTGTCTGAAAATGTGATGTGGGTTAGGTCCGGAGAGAGAAGATAGGCGAAAGAATGAAGCTGCTTCAAGATCTTGTTCCTGGCTGCAACAAGGTGAGAGAAAGAGAGAGATTTAAGACTAATTACACACTAATTAAATTCAGATTATAATGCAAAAGTGTCGATTATCATTATTATTATTTAAGAAAAAAGTTCACACTTTTTATTTTTTATTTTTTTTAAAAAGGTTACTGGCAAAGCACTGATGCTGGATGAAATTATAAACTATGTCCAATCATTGCAACGACAAGTTGAGGTAAGTTTAATATCAGTTCATTTTAATCTTATTCTAATGATTTGATTTAATTTAATCACCGATTTTTATTTTATTTATTCATTCCTTAATTTTATGTAATTGTTTAATAATGGCAGTTCTTGTCAATGAAGTTAGCTTCGGTGAACACCAGGCTGGATTTTAACGTGGACGCTTTAGTGTCAAAGGACGTAAGTCACCGTCGTATTAAAATTATATTTATAACAAAAATACTAATAATATTGACAATTATTTTACGGTCATTACCACACAATCTAATATTCTACGGTCGAAACAAAGATATATTACCATCTTTTTCCACAGACGAAATAATTGTGGTTACCACTAATTGTTTTGGATTCTAAATAGATTATTTTCAAATTTGTATTTTTCTTGAAAAATTATATTCATTTCCTTTGTTTAAGTTCCGTTTATTTTCGGCTTTAGTTTCATTTATAAAAATATTGATACCCTATTTTTTTGTTTTTATTGAATTTTCATAATTTTTTAATATTTTATTCATATTCGAATAAAAATGACCAGAAATGTGCTTTTATTTATTATGGGATTTTATTTTTCAGATGATTGCACCTTTGCATCAGCAATTAGATTCCACATTACAATCATTTTCGGGTCATCAACAACACCAACGAAATAATTTACAGTTACACCCCAACATTTCTTCGAATTACAAAAACACCCAATGCCCGGTTGGCCCTCTGGACACTTCTGCCTCATCCAGAAGCTTCGCTCTACCAACCCTTGACCAATTCACTGACTCTATCCCCCAGGTTCTTTTGAATTCTTACACTTTTGTCCCAATTTCCAATTTCATAACAATTTCACCCCCTTGATCCTAGGTATGTCTGGATTTTTGTTTCACAGTGTCCAGCATTTTATGAAGACGATTTACACAGCCTCGTTCAAACGGGGTTTGCAGTGTGTCAATCGGAAACGGTCCAAATGCAACCACAATATTTTCAAAGTAGGAGACTTATTTTGTATTAAATTACGTGTTTATGTTAAAAAATATAAAAAAATATAATATGGTGTGTGACGTGGGCTTTTGTACCATGCAGATTCAAATAAAGCATCGTCAGACATGAAACCCGAGCTTTGATGGACACCGTTATTTGGTTTTACATATAAAAATGGGTGTCGGATTTCAAGGCGTAAGGAGGAAGAAGGTCCGATTTCGAGGTGACGAATTATAATGCATGGAATATGGTTGTATATAACAAGAAATTTGATTCGGATATGATGTTATATATATATATATACATACATATATATATATATTTATAACATATTTTACCCTTTTTTAAAAAATTTTGTACTCCAATTCTTTTGTGGGTGGTTCCATCGTAATGTTATCCACTATGATTTCCTTTGGACGCTTTTTTCTTTTATGTAGTATCATTGTATCCCCCACTACAATATATGCAAATATAATATAATGCTAAATACAGATTACTCTCTCTCTCTCTCTCTTTCTCTCTCTAGATCATAATATGCTTATTTCGTCCCAATGTTTGATCTGTATTTAAATTAGAAATACTTATATATATATATATATATATATATATATATATATATATCGTTTTCCATATCTTATCGCAACCTTATTTCAATTTGATTTGTACTTTTTTCAATACATACTAAATGGTGTGGAAGGTTATTCAGAACTGAAACAATGGATTAGAACCCCAAGAAGGATAATTAAAACTAAACAAATGAAAATTATAATTTTGTAATTTTCATCTACAATTGGTCAACATCGCTTTCATAGTTAGATCTCATGATCTATTTCATTTGATTTGATCTTTTGCTGGTTAGTGTTAACCAGCTGTTTGTATGGTGTTAGGTCTTTATCCTTATTGTCTCCTGCAGAAATATTTTTAACATAAAAAATTAATTAAAGTCTAATCTTCAAAAAATAATAATTTCTAAATAATGAGGTCAACCCGTGATTTTTGGAAACTTTATGGGCCTATTGTTATTTTCAGGGATTTGCCTGGAAAAAGCTTCTCTTATTCGTTTAAAAGCGTGTCATAAATGACTCCACACGTTTAAGAAAAAAAAAAAGCTGAAGCTAGGGTTTAATTATTTTCTGGATATTTCAAACCAAATTATATATATATATATATTTCATACATACCTATGTAACGATGAAGAGTAGTATTGTATGTTATACTCCGATTATACAATGTATTAAAATATTTAAGATATAATTTCTTCTTCTACGTACTCCAAATTCCGAACAATTTCATGTATATGATGCATTAGACTTACATTGATTGAGTATGGATTCGGGTTCAATTATATTTTTTTAAATATATTTTTTGGAATTTCGTTTTGGTTCATATTTTATTAATTTTATTTTCATTTCAAATTCGATTGTTTTAATTTAATTAAAATAGTATCGAAATAACTTTTAGATAAGATTCGTTTGAGATTATATATCATTAGATTAAATTGATTTGAATTAAATATTCGGTCTTTTCTATATCATAATTGTATTATACCTGGAGTGATGTTATATTCATTTATATTAATTACAAAATATTTGTCAATTTTAATAATCATGTACAAAAATAATTGGTGGCGTTTCATATAATCTTTTAAATAAACGAATACTAATTGATAGAATTATATGAGAACAATAATTGAATAAATTAATCAACCACATGGTTATAAACTCGGATTCGGGGACTTAATCACAGGGGAATAATGACAATGGCTTTTAAATAATCGCCAACCACCTTTAAGTTCATAATTGAAAAGTTGTTAAAAATTATATATAAATGTAAATAAACAAATAAATCTTTAACGACCTGAATTTAATTCCGACAGTTTTTTTTCCTAAAAAGAAAACAAGTCTTCGGTTGCAGACTTAATATATTCTTAAAAAATAAAGATTGAATTATTGGACCGCTTGATATTTAGACGTCATTAATTTAAATTAGTTTATAATTTGCTAGTTTTTTCATCAACTATATTATAATCACTATAAATAAAAATAAAAGATTACGAGAGTAGTTACATCTCATTAGGTTATTTAGTCGAATTAAAAAAAAAATTCTTAGATTCTAAGTAACGACAATGTTCATGTGACAACCCTTTTTGTCCCTCGATAAATTCAAAGTGGTTTTCGTTTGTACTAGTCCAACATTACGAGGGTCCATACAAGTTATAAAAAAAATAGTATTTATAAATTAAAATCATATACTATAAAAAAATGTTATTTTTCGTCTATTTCGGGTCTAACTAAGTTTATTTGTAACGCACGATGTGATCAAATACCATCATCAAGCAATAAATGGACGCGAGACAGGAATTAGTGCCTCGGTGGAGTAATGCATTGTGGCCCTTAAACATGAATATCACGAGAGGTGACGACGTGACTTTTCATTTGCATAAAAAAAAAACCCATAATAAATAAATTAACAAATGAACTAATTATTGATAAAATATGTGAGCACTTAAATATTTTTGTGATGAAATAAATCCAAAACCTCATCGTAAAACTCATTTATTTGTCAAATAAACATGGGAGATTTTTGCAATACAGAAAAGAACGAAGAGAGATGAAGAGAACTCATGGGTTTTGTGTGTGGTATTTACTCTCTTAATTTGAAATGTGGTTGATGCATTTACTTATAAACCCTCATCAATTAATTCTCTAATGACACTAATATACCCTAATAGGACGTATATCAATTATGCTAATACTGTTTTTTAATCTAAGAGCAAAATATTTATCTTTCTTATCATAAATCATAAAAATATAATGCATATCTTTCAATAAAAAAATATAATGATCTCAATGATGTACGTGTACGGTATTTATTTAAAGCATTTGATCATACGGTACTAATCTTTACATATAAAAACATAATTATATATACATGTGAACTTTTAAATATTTATGCTGGGCAAGTACCTAATAAATAATAATAGTTAATAGATCTCTTAACATGGGTCAGGCCGTCTGGGTCCGAGTATAATGGGCCTTATTTTATTAATGGGCCTGATTGTAATAAAGGGCATTGTTCTGACAATGGGTCTCAAATCGGCCCAATGTAAATTCGTGAATTCAGGAATTTCATTTCCTGGAAAATTGGAATCTATTTTATTTTTTGGTAAACTGACAAAAATGGTAGGTGCCCAAAAAATTGAAGTAGCGATGTTACTTGTCGGGAAAAAAAAAGAGAGAGGCTTGTACGTGTGTATTTATAAACGATAAAATAAAATAAAACACCATTACAACTGCAATAATCAGCAATTAACTTAACATTGGTCGTATTTTAGAACGGAAAATGATAAAATCCAATCACATTAGCCAAATAGATAACTTATAAACTTTAAAAAAAAAAACATATTTTGCTGTAACTAGATGAAATTACATTTAAACGATCTAAACCGGAGTAAACCGGAAGAAATCAAAGAAAAGTGGAGGACACGCGCGGCTTGATTCCATGACGGAGTCAGCGCGTGAGAAATGCAAACACAGAGACGAGAGATCTGTCGATGGGGAAATAAAAAAAAAAAAATCCTCTAAGCACATGTTATGCTTCTTCTCACACATCAATCAAACCCAACCAAAAAAAAAAAAATTTAAACTTTACAGACAGAGAATTTTTTTTTCTCTAGAGCAGAATCTGAGCGGTTCTTGGAAACCTTCTTACTAAGTTTAGCCCAATCCTGTTCTCTTCTCCATCGCAGATTATCCAGATTCACAGATCTACCGATTTCATTGTGTTCCTTCTCTGTCTCGATTCCTGTTTTGTAGATTGCTGTTGTTGTCGTTTTCGTTGTTCTGGGTTTGCTTTCCTTGGATGTCGCGAGCGCAGAACAAGGAGTTTCAGGAATGGTGGAACAAGCAGCGAGAGAGGAACCGCGACATTTTCTCCGGCGACGTCTACTCCGCCGCCGGAGAAGACGACGCCTTAATCACCGTTGAAATCCGTACACCCGCCGTCGACCCGGATAAGGATCGGATCCGGGCTCGGACAGCCCGACAGCTCTCGTGGCTCTACCTCCTCAAGTTCCAGCAACTCGCCGCCTCTGTCGCCTGGATCGCTTCCTCCTTTGTCTACCTTGTTCGAACCGCGAACCGCCGCATTGCCACCGATTCTCCGCCGTCTCTCTCTCCATCGCCGTCGTCCACGTCGGCGAGGCTGTACCGAGCGATAAAGGGCTTCCTCGCCGTCGTGATCCTCCTCCTATGCCTCGAGCTCGCCGCGTATTTCAAGGGATGGCACTTCACTCCGCCGTCGGTGGCGTCGGCGGAAGCAGCGGGGGAGGTGGTCTACGCGCGGTGGCTGGAGATCAGGGCGACGTACCTGGCGCCGCCGCTGCAGAGCTTGACCAATGTATGTATAGTACTGTTCTTGATTCAGTCGGTGGACCGTTTGGTGCTGGTGTTGGGGTGCTTCTGGATAAAGCTCCGGCAGATAAAGCCGGTGGCAGCTATGGAATATCCGGCAACGGCGGTGGATGAGGGAGACAGAGTGGAGGATTATCCGATGGTTCTCGTGCAGATTCCAATGTGCAATGAGAGGGAGGTAAGCAGATGTAGGTTTCTTATCCCTTGATTCATGGTTACTGTTATAAATATCCAACTGGGCAGTTTATGTTTTCATGTTCCATAGCTAGTATAGTTCCACTGTATCTCTTGCCATTGTTACATGAACTCAGGCGAGCTTGCTTGCTGTCGTAAACTTCCTGTTTGTTGGATCATTGGAATGATTTTGGTTGGTTGATGGATTCAGGTTTACCAACAATCCATAGCTGCTGTCTGTATCCTGGACTGGCCAAAGGAAAGAATGCTTGTGCAGATTCTTGATGATTCGGATGAATTAGATGTTCAGCTTCTTATAAAGGCAGAGGTACAGAAATGGCAACAAAGGGGAGTCCGGATTCTGTACAGACACCGTCTTATAAGAACAGGGTACAAGGCTGGAAACCTCAAAGCTGCGATGAACTGCGAGTACGTGAAAGACTATGAGTTTGTCGCCATCTTTGACGCGGATTTTCAGCCACCACCCGATTTCTTGAAGAAAACCGTGCCTCATTTCAAGGTAAATCAGTGCGGTAGAAGTGTTTCTTCATTTGCTAAACGTATATCTTAGATTCTGCTACGTTCAAGCTTTAATAATTGGACAAATTTATCAGCTTCTTCTCACGTGATATCGTTTTCTTTTTACAGGGAAATGAAGATGTAGCCTTGGTCCAAACTCGGTGGTCCTTTGTGAACAAAGATGAGAACTTGCTTACGAGACTACAGAACATAAACTTGTCTTTCCACTTTGAAGTGGAACAGCAGGTGAATGGTGTCTTTATCAACTTCTTCGGTTTTAATGGAACTGCGGGTGTGTGGAGGATTAAAGCCTTAGAGGACTGTGGAGGATGGTTAGAACGAACAACTGTAGAAGACATGGATATCGCTGTCCGTGCTCATCTTTGTGGATGGAAGTTCATTTATCTGAATGATGTTAAGGTATATTTCTTACCCCAATGTTCAGAAATGAAAAGGGTATTCGTCAAAATCTCATCTTTCCGTCTCCTTTTGATAGTGTTTGTGTGAACTCCCGGAGTCGTATGAAGCGTACAAGAAGCAGCAATATCGCTGGCATTCAGGGCCAATGCAGCTGTTTCGACTATGCTTCTTCGACATTCTTCGTTCAAAGGTGAAAGTCAAATGGATAAGTCATATGATGTCGTGTTCCGTCAAGTCTTAATCCGACCTTGTTTTCGACACTTGCGTGCAGGTGAGTGCAGCCAAGAAAGCGAATATGATATTTCTCTTCTTCTTGCTGAGGAAGCTCGTCCTTCCGTTCTATTCCTTCACTCTCTTTTGCGTAATTCTACCACTAACCATGTTCTTCCCGGAGGCCGACTTACCGGCTTGGGTGGTGTGCTATATTCCCGGGATCATGTCCATCTTAAACATCATCCCGGCTCCGCGATCATTCCCATTCATCGTTCCGTATCTCCTGTTCGAGAACACCATGTCTGTGACAAAATTCAGCGCGATGATATCTGGGTTGTTCAAGTTCACGAGTTCATACGAGTGGATAGTCACCAAAAAGCTGGGGAGATCCTCGGAGGCCGACCTGGTTGCGTATGCAGAGTCGAAGCCTCTGGTAGAGAACCAGGGTCTTCAAAGGTCTTCGTCGGATTCAGGCCTGACCAAACTAGGGACGGTGAAGAAAGCCGGGAAAGCCAAAAGAAACCGGCTGTACAGAACAGAGCTCGCCCTGGCAATGATCTTGTTGGCAGCTTCAGCGAGGAGCCTGTTGTCTGCGCAAGGGATTCACTTCTACTTCCTCTTGTTCCAAGGAATCACTTTCATGGTAGTTGGGCTCGATTTGATTGGGGAGCAGGTCAGTTAGGGAACCGCCCTCGCTCGCCTACCCTGTCTGAAGAACAGAACTCGAGATCAAGCCGCTGTTATCCGAGGTGCCTGTCTCTTTCTTGATTGGTTGATGATGCTCCGATGAATTACACATACATTAAGATGTAGATTTTACGGATTTCTTCTTGCGGGATAGGAATAAAGACAGTAGGGTTTGATCCGACACCTCGGGAATTCGGTTAGCGGAGTCTTCAAAAGACTGAGGACGATGATCAGTAGGGAACTGAGGATGTGTGATGTGATCTCCCTCCTTAAATATTCATAGAGAGAGAGAGAGAGAGAGGGAGCAGTCAGGGCATTGAAGGTTGTTTCAGATTTGTACACTCTTTTGTTTTTTGTTGTTGGGTTTTGATTGGGCAGTTGAGTGTTTAGGATTTGAAGAGGGAGAGATGCTCTGTTGTATTGCAAACTGCAACACGGACACCATTCTTTAATACTGTTGTCTTTTTTTTTTTTTCCTGTTCCGTTTCATCATCTTTTTGAAAAGGGAGACTGCAAGTTTTATCACCGGACAGTAATTGATTCCAGATAGGTTTAAACTGTAATTTTATTTGATCATTTGTAAGATTTAAAACTTTGTGTTATAGGTTATGCGATTCCACCACCATTTTTGGCCTGACTTGGTCTTTAGGCCTCCGCATCTACACCGATCGGTCTCTCATCCTTGGTCTTGCCCAACATTTTGCTGTAGAATTTGGCTTCTCTCTTGTTGTACCCCTTCACCTTCTCCTTCAGTTTCCTGTACTCCGACTTCACCTCCCTGCAATATTCCATTTCAATAGAGTAATTTGGAGAAGATAATCTGTTTTTTTTTTTACATGTAAAAAATAAAATTATCTCACCTGTTGGAAGGGTCGATGTGGAGAGCTTTCTTGATATCAAACTCGGCAAGCTCCAATTCATCAGTCTCCATGTAAGCCTCTGCCCTTCTATAAAGCGCCTTGACGTTTTCCTCCTCTCCCGACAACACCTTTGTGCATAATTCCACAGCCTCTCTGTATTCTCTCTGTTTCAGCTTGCAAGCGGCCTTGTTCAGGTCGCATGCTGCTCTCAGCTCTTTCGTCTTCTTCCTCTCCTCTTCCCCGAAAGCCGATCCATACTCTATGTACCCCACCGCCTGCATTCATGGACAGATTTCCATACTTAGTCTCAAATATAAGGGGGTATGGACCGTTTTCCCAAGGATGGATCTCCCATGCCTTGTCATATCTCTTCAAAGCCTTGGCGTATTTTCCAGCTTTGAACAACGCATTGCCTTCTTCCTTCTTGCTCTCGGCCGCCTCTATCTTTTCCTGCGTGTACATTTCCCAAGATTCCTTCTCCTGCATCAAACATGTAACGGGTTTTGCTTCGGCTGTTTCTCGAAACTTTTTCGGATTAGGAGGTGACTAAAGAACTCACCTTGACAAAGGATAGTAGCTCCACTTCATAGTAAACTGTAGAGTTTGGCGGTACCACGGCCAATTCCTG